ATGTCAAGGTAGAAAAGTAAGGTTCCAGGCTCCTGTCTTGTAGCCTCCCACGTGCCCTCTCTGGAGGCAACCGGTTCTACGTTTCTTGCTTATTCTTCCAGACATTTATCACTTAATGGAGGTGCCAATCATTTTTCTTCAGGCTGTGTATTTATTTCTAGCCATTGAACACAATATCAATGAGCACATCCTATTAACATTTCCATATCACAGACAGGGATCTGAGACACAGAAGGGCTAAGGAACTTTCAAATGGGATGTGCTTTCAGGCCAATCGGCACCCACACTCTGAGTCACAGTGTTGTACTGACTCTATTTATCTCATCTAAATAAAGTTATTCCCATATAATCAGTCTGTTGTGTGTTTTAAGCTTTCAACAAACTGCAAGGTCAATCTTCTAAGCCCTATTTTGATTAAAGTGTCTTCTTTTCTATTTAGCTCATTTTTGTAGTGAAATGTTTAAATTCCTTTATTTCCTTTTGTATATACAAGGTCTGACAATTAAGTTTGCAAACTTGTTGCAACGATTTTGCTAACTTTTTTTCATATAAGAGGGATTATTCATTATGAATTTGTACCGACTGGACAGTTAACCAAGTTGACTATTTGGAAGTGCTGAAAAGGCTGCGTGAAAAAGTTAGACGATCTGAACTTATCACCAGCAATTCATGGCTCTTGCATCACCACAATGCACCAGCTCACACAGCACTGTGTGAGGGTTTTTTCTGTTTTGTTTGTTTGTTTGTTTTTTGTTTGCTTGTTTGTTTGTTTTGCAGTTTGTGGAAATGTTTTAATTAGAGGATTCTTAGATACAGTGGTTAATCTATTGCCCACAATTCCTCACTAATTAGGCGCCTCATGCTGGGAACACACTCTCTTCCCTTACAGTAGAAACAGAATGATCACATTTCATAGTTCTCGTGTTACAAGATTCACATCTTTGTTAAGCCAAGGACTGTGGCACAAAAGGACATTTCATTAGCCCAAGTCAAGACAGTTTGTTAGAAACATCGATTGCTTTAGAATGCTTTAACTAGAAAATATATTGCATTTCCATATATATTAACCATATACATGTGTAACTATTACTAGGTGTAGTTCAGTCATTACAACATAAGATATTCTGGAAGGGGCTATACACACACGACATGCTAAGCCTCCCCAATAAGGCCCCCTGCATTAGGAATAATCGCAAACATCCAACCAAGAGCTCAGAGCTCAGTAACCTGACAGACAGACATCCAGCTAAGCAAGTAAAAAAGCACTGGGCCCTCAGGCCATGCAGGGGTTGTTAGCTGAGGGGGCAACATTTCGTGGGGTGAACAGGGGCACCCCTTCCTGGCTGAGGGCCCAGATGACAAGCCCTCCCTTCTCTCCCCACCTCTTTGGGGACCATCCCCACTTCAGTCCGTGTGCCGGAGCCACAGGCAAACGGGTTCTGACAGCAAGAATCCTTGGGGTGGGAGGTATGGGGTCAGCTGGTACGGGGCCAGCTTCAGGCCTCTAGTCTGGTCAGCACTGTGCTTGCGGGGACCCAGAAGCTAGGTCCCCTTCTGCCACTTCCTGTCTCCATCTATGGCACCTCCCTGCTGAGCTGGGATCCACGCCCTGCTTCCTGATAGGACAGAACAGGCAGCCAACTCTGGGAAGCTCTGCTGCGGGCTCAGTCAGGCTCCAGGGTGCCTTCTGGGGAGAGCGGCTCCTTGGGTGACCAGGTTCAGAATGCTTCAGGAAACAGGAAGAGCATGCAACCGAGGTCCTCAAAGCTGCTCTTGGGGTGTCCTGGTGCCTGGGACCTCCTGCACACAGGGGTGGAGCCGGGAGGGCTGTGGGCGCTACAGGCAAAGGCCCGAGGGCAGCCACCGAGGCCTGGGCAGGCAGCGCACTGCCAGATGCAAGGCCACGTGCCCTGTCCGCAGGCAAGGCCACATCACCATGGCCCAGCTGCCCTCAGCCAGCCTGCGTCAGCTGCTGAGGAGGGCCCGTGGCTTGTACGTGGTCCTCACTCAGGCTTGGCCCTTGCCTGGGTTCAGGCACCTCGTCCTCCTGATGGTTCAGGGGGCACATGCTTTAGAAAGGTCTTGACGCCCGTCCCAACCTGACCAGATCTGAACTCTTAGCACTCTATGGCCCAAAGACCCAGGTGCAGGGGACAGAAGCCCTGGACACACTCCATCTTTGTACACAGCACCACTTCTAAAGGACCAGGCCAAAAGCCATGCAGGGCCCAGGCATAGGCAGCAAGACATGCTGGCGCCAAGGCCGGTGCTCTGTGGGGCCTGTGACTGAGTGCGAAGGGCCTGGGCACCATAAGCGTGCCTCCTGTGAGGGACTTTTTAGCCAGTAAACAAATAACTGTATTGGAACACCATCCCTACTCATCTGATCTCAATGACTCTCCTTATTCAATTACTTCTTTCTTTACCCAAAGATAAAGGAAATATTGAAAAGACATTTGATGCCATTCAGAACATCAAGGGTAATAGAACGACAGCTCTGATGGCCATTCCAGAAAAAGAGTTCCAAAGTTGCTTTGAAGGGTGGACTAGGCACTGGCACTGAAGTACTCCAAGGGGATCACTTTGAAGGTGACCATAGTGATATTCAGCAATGAGGTACGTAGCACTTTTTCTAGGACGAGTTTTCGAACTTAATTGTCAGACCTCATATTTTATTCTATTTTCTTTGTGATTGCCATGTGGATGACCTTTAACATCCTAAAGTTATAACACTCTAATTTTAGTTTATGCAAGGTTAATTTCAATAACATCCAAGTTCACAAAGCTAATGGATCATTCTATTTTTTCAATACAAAAAGACATTCTCCAAGACATTACAATGAAATTGTCAACAATCAAGGAGAAAGTAAGAATTTTAAAAGCATCCAGGAAAAAAAAGATTGTGACCTACAAAGGAACCCCCATTAGGCTACCAGCAGATTTTTCAGCAGAAACTCTATAGGCCAGGAGAGGGTGGAATGACATATTCAAAGTGTTGAAAACAAAAACAAAAACATTTGCCAGCCAAAAGCAGTCTATCCAGAAAGTTATCCTTCAGATATGAAGGAGAAATCAATATTTTCCTAGGCAAGGAAGAGCTGAAGGAGTTCATCACCACTAGACCTTCCTTGCAAGAAATGCTGAAAGGAGTTCTTCCACCTGAACTGAAAAGACACTAATTAGCGATGTGACAACATGTGAAAATATACAGCACACTGGTAAAAGCAAATATACAATCAACTTAGAGAACGTTAAATCTGTAACAGGACGGTGTGTTAACCCTTTAAATATAGTTTAGGCATACTTCAGAGCTATTGCAGGCTCAGTTCAGGCCTCCACAATAAAACAAATATCACACTAAAAGAATCCCATGCATTTTTTGCTTTCCTAGAGCACATAAAAGTTATGTTTACACTATATGGTAGTCTATTAAGAGTGCAATGGCATTATGTCTAAAAAACACACTGTACATTTCTTAATTAAAAATATTTGATTGCTGAAAAAGAAAAAGCTGTGATCCCAGCCTTCAGCGAGTTTTAACCTTTTTGCTGTCAAAGGTTTTGCCCCATTGTTGATGGCTGCTGGCTGATCAGAGTAGTAGTTACTGAAGGTTGGAGTGGCTGTGATAAGTTCTTAAAATAAGATGACAATGAAGTTTGCCCCATGAAATGAAGGGTAATTTATCTGTAGCATGTAATGCTGTTTGAAAGTATTTTACCCACAGTAAAAATTCTTTCAAAATTGCAGTCAATCCTCACAAAAGCCTGCTGTTTATCAACTAATTTTATGTGATATTTTATTATTTTTATTCTTTTTTAATATTTTTATTAAAAAATATAGCTAACATACAACATTATATCAGTTTCAGGTGTACACCATAGTAGTTCAACATTTATATACATAAAGAAGTGATCACCGTAAGTCCAGTAACCATCTGACATCATAACAAACTATCACACTATTATAGGCTACATTCCCAATGCTGTACATTACATCCCCATGACATATTTGTTTAACACCTGGAAATTTGACCTCTCATTCCCCTTAATTTTTCACCTGCCTTTTTTAAAAGTTCAAATACAGTGGACATTCAATATTATTTTATATTGATTTCAGACGTACAGCACAGTGGTTAGACATTTGCATGATTTAAGATGTGATCCTCGTGTCTAGGTTACTGCTCATTATACATAGTTACTACCATATTATTGACCTTAATGCTATGCTTTACTTTATATACCCATACTATTTATAACTAATAATTTGTATTACTTACACCCCCTTCCCCTTTTGTAGCCAACCCGTTAACACTAACTTCCGTATCTAACAAACATACATATGTTCTTTGTATCTATGAGTTTCTTTCCCTTTTGTTTCTCTATTTTATTATTTAGATTTCAAAATACGTTAAAAAATGTTGCATCTGTCTTTCTCTGTCTGACATACTCAGGACAAAAACCAAGGAAATCCACTGCAGTTGCTTCACATGGCAAGAGCCCATTCCGCCTATGTACAGAAAGCCCCTGAAATTGTATGAAAAACATAGGCCTAAAAGAGTTCTTCGGCAGACGGGCACAGGGTGAAGATTCATCGTATTCTCACGAGTGTACAAGAGTCCCATGAATTGAGAAACACCTCCACCCTTGGGCAGGTGTGGGAGTGCCTGAGTGAGCGTCGTCCCTGGGGGGACCCGCACCTGTGCTTGCCCGCGGGCCCTCCTCCCGTGTCCTCTGCGCGGGGACCCCACGCATCGTCTCGTCGATGGCGCGCCGAACCCCAACTGCCCTTCCGCAGAATCTCGGGGCGCACGCGCTCCTCGCGACCTCGGGCACGCGTGCCCACTCTTGGTCAGCGCGTTCCAAGGGCGTCCAGGCAACAGGCCCCACAGTGGACACTTTGCCTTTGGCCGTGTTGACACTTGAAGGAGCTAGCTTGAAGCCCGCTCCCTGTCTGAAGACAGACCTTCCCTCAAGCGCCCCCCACCCCCACCCCACCCCCCAATGGGCGGCCACCTGGGCAGGCTCCGCCTCCCAGCCCCACCCCTTTCCTTCCTGGGCCAGCGCGGCCGCAGCCGCCGCCGCCGCCTCCACCACCAGCACCTCTACCGCTGCCGCCGCCGCGCTCGCCAGGCCGGGCACCTTCCCTGGACGCCTCCACCCACTCGCAGGTATCCAGAGCGCGAGGGTCATGCAGCGAGCTGGCCCCTGCGCCTTGTCACGGCGTGTCGGAGACGCTATCCCAGGGTCGCTGGGGCGCTGCGCTTCTGTCTGGGCCGCCTCGCCTCCAACTGCGGGCATGGCCTTCAGAGGAGAGCAATGCCGTTGGCTCCCGACTGGAGGACGGCCCTCAGCTCGGCGTCTCTAGCGGGCAGCGTCGCTCTGCGTGCGGCACGGGAGCTGGCAGCCATCCTCATGGCGCGCACGGCACCCAGGTGTGCCCGAGGCCGCCGCCCGGGGGGGATCCCGTCGAGGGCCGAAGCAGAGAGCCCGGGGGAAGAAAGGGCTCAGCGCGAGGAAGAGCCCGCCGCCCCCGAGGAGCCGGCCGGCCCCGATGGCACCGGGGGTGCGGCGTCTCCATCCGGGGGCCAGGGAGGCCCCTCTTCCTCCGAGCCCGGCCCGGGGCCTCTGCAGGGAATGCCCGGCGCCCCGGAGGGCTCAGAAGACGCGCTGAGCTCCTGCGCCGCGAGAAACGCCATCACGAGCTCCTACAGCTCCAGCCTAGGCTTGGTCTTCCCGGAAGCGCGGTGGCCCTGGCAGCTTCCCGACTTGGCCTTCCCGGAAGCGCGGTGGCCCTGGCTGCTTCCCGCCGCACCCCAAGCCGAAGCGAGCCGGGGCGGTCCTCAGCCTTCGTCCCACGCAGCGGACGCAGGTGCCGCCAAGGGGCAGAAGCGCCCCCGGAGAGCCGGCTCACCGCCACGCGACAGCGCCAGGCCCCGAAAACGCAGCGTTTGTCTGCTGCCACGCAGGCGAGGGCGCCCTCTGAGGCTGCCACCGCTCCCCGAGCTGGGTTTCCAAGTCACCCCAGAACACCTCGACTGGGAGAAGGCAGCCGCCTTGTGGCGCATCCACAGCGCGCTTCGGGGTGAGAGGGTGGCCGTCGCGTACTGAGGCGCACGGCGGCCCTCGCGTTCTTGGGCCCCGCCGGCCCGCTCGCTGCAGGGACTCCTCCTGCACCAGCTTGCCCCGCCAGCCCCCAGCACGAGCCCACAGCCGGCGAAATGCAGGAGGAAGCAGGACGCCGGAACGGAGCCGCCCACCGACCCGTGCCGTAGGTCCTCCGGTCCTCCTCGCAGAGACCCGGCGCCACCACTGGTCCAAGCGCCCCTCCCTCCAGCGGCCTGCCAATCACTTGTGCGGTCAGTGCCAGCCCCCTCAACCAGCACATCTGCAGGCTCGGCTCCCCAGCCTGCCTCGGACACGGTGGAGGTCGCCTCCGTGGACTGCACCGCCACCTCCCCCGCCCGCCACTCACGGAGCCTCCTGATGGGCAGCCGCACCTCGGACAGCTCCGACCCTCCCTCCAGCGGCCTGCCAATCACTTGTGCGGTCAGTGCCAGCCCCCTCAACCAGCACATCTGCAGGCTCAGCTCCCCAGCCTGCCTCGGACACGACGGAGGTCGCCTCCGTGGACTGCACCGCCACCTCCCCCGCCCGCCACTCACGGAGCCTCCTGATGGGCAGCCGCACCTCGGACAGCTCCGACCAGGGTGGAAAACCCCCGGCAGCTCAGCTCCAGCTCCAGCTGCGGCCCCCACCTCGGCTCCAGGCCAGCGAGCCTTGGGAAGCGCCACACCTCTCCACCCCTCCCCCCAGTCAGGAGAAATCTGCCTCTCCAAGCAGGTCCCATGCTAGACAACTGAATTACTCACCATATGTTCCTGCCGGCTTTCCAGTTGCTGCCCCAGTGGTGGAGCTGAGAGCCTGTGATTCCGTTGGTGGGTAAGTCCGCTTGCATTCCCAGTGAGTTTTCCGCCCCGTCTCAGTCAGTCACAATGGCTGCAGTCAGTCACAATGGCTGCTGATTTTCACAACCAAAAATGATGGGTCTTCTCTCCCCAGCACTGGAAATTTGGGCTTGAGTGTGGCTGGGATCTCTTGCCCTTGTAGGGGATGGGGATGGACCCCATAGCTGAAAAAGCCTCCCCGATCTTTAATGGTCACACACGGATATGGGATCAGTCCGTTCAGGGTCTCTGACCTTCCTACCAGTCTGGAGCTGGCTTCTTCCGCACATCTTTAGTTGGAAGGCTTCAGTTCTGCTTGATTTTAGGTGATTCTCAATAATGGCTGTTTCGTAGATTAGCTGTAATTTTGATGTGGTTTTGTGAGTAGGGCATAGGGGCATGCTCTTCAGTTCAAGTGGAGCCACCCTGCAGGGGGTAAATTGACAGGGCCTGGGCTGATTCCGTTGTGTGCAGGCTGGCTAACGGACTCTGACGCCAGAAGAGGTTCGGGCCCACACAAGCGGTGGCCGCTGACGCAGGGACCCTGTCCCCACACGTAACAACCTTTGACTCAGAAGCCTGCTGTGCAGGCGCCGAATCCCGATGACATGCGCTCTTTAGGTAAGCATGAGTCACAGCTGAGGGAGGGAGCAAGCGTGCGCTCCTCCCCCAAAACCTCTATATAATGGCTGCTGTTGCTAATGAAAGACGCTGGTTCCTCCTCGTGTCCGCTTTGTGTGCTTTCTTTTGCCTGAGCATCTCACCGCTGAGAGCCTCCCACTTCCCCTGCACCTCCTCAGTGACGGACAGAAAGTAAACACAGCATATACTTACTGCACCATCTTAGTTTTCCCTTCTGGGACCCTTTTTTTTTTAAGATTATTTTTTAAATTGGGGAATTGGGGGAAGGGGAACAGACAAGTTGCTGGCTTTTTGTTCTTCAGTCTAGTCGTGGAGGATGTTGCTTCACTGGCCCATGTTGGTATCATTATTGTGCTCTTGCCGGGGTGAGGCAGATCGGTGGAAGGCCTCTGGGCGGCTGCTCTTGGCATCTCTTATGCTGGCTGCTCACCATGGCTGCCAGCCGCTTATGGTAGCTTATGGCAGCCCAGGGCAGCCGATGCTGTTGCGGGCAGTTCACGGCAGGTGAGCTCCAGGTCAAGTTATAGAGGGCGCAGCCTCACTGGCCCTCATGTGGGATCTGAACCCCGGCCCTGCTGCTCAGAGCTGGCGTCCCAAGCCACCTCCTAACCAACACGCCACTAGGCTGGCCCTGGGACACTCTTTATGCATACGTTGGTATGCTTGATAGTATTACTCAGGTCTCTGAGTCTCTCTTTTTCTTCCCCACCCTTATTTTGTTTTAACTTACTGTTCATCAGACTGCATGTCAACTGACCTAGCTTCAAATTTGCTGATTCTGCATTCCTCCTGCTCAGATCTGCTGTTCAGTCCTGTTGTGGGGTCATGTCCCTCCAAATACACATTATTGCTCTAATCCTCATTACCTGTGAAAGTTTCTTCATTTGGAAATGTGGTCTTTGCAGATGTAATCAAGTTAAGATAAGGTCATATTGGATTAGGGTGGTCCCTACGCCAATGACTATTGTCCTTCTAAGAGTAGGAGCTTGGACACATGGACACAGCGCAGAGAAGGCCATGTGATGGTGGAGGCATAGATTGGAGTGATGGCAGCTGCAAGCCAAGGAAAACCAAGGATTTCCACAAAATACCAAAAGCTAGAAGGTGGCAAGGAAATCTAATGCATTAGCCTACAGCTTGACTTTAGACTTCCTGCTTCCAGAAGTGTGAAACCATAAATCTCTGTTGTTTTAATCCACATTGTTTATCCCTTGTTACAGCAGCACTAGGAAACTAGTAAAAGCTCCTCTGTCAAAATTTTCAGTTATTACTATATTTGTCAACTTCAGAAATTCTATTTGGTTATCTTTTATAATGTATTGCTTTTTCTTGTGTCTATTTGGAGAGACACAATTCTCATACTATCATTTAGTTCTTTAAATATGATTTCCTTTAATTCTTTGAATTTATTTAAGGTAGCTACAAAGCCTTTGTCTTAGTAAGTCCAATGTCTGGATTTCCTCATATACAGTATCCATTGGTTATTTTTTTCCTTGTGTACTAGTCTGTGTTGAGAGGGTGGCTAGAGCCCCTCAGGTTCTGTCATTCTCTATGAGGACTCACTGAACTCAGTATAGAATCGTGCTGCTGGCTATGATTTATTGCAGTGAAATCACACTAAGCAAAATGAGCAAAGGGAAAAAGATGCCTGAAGGAAGGTCCAGAGAAAACCAGGTAGATGCTGTCAAGAATTCTGCCCTGGGGCCAGCTGAGTGGCGTTTGGTTAAGAGCTGGCTTGGGACGCCAGAGGGCCCCGGTTCGGATCCCACATGTGAGGGCCAGTGACACTGCCCTCTACAGCTAAGATGCTGAACAACAGCTCAACCTGGAGCTGGGCTGCCATGAGTCGCCGGCGACGGCGTAGGCTGCAGCCCCTGCTGCAGTAGGCTGCCATGGGCTACTGTGTGTAGCCAGCAGCCAGCGTGAGCGGCCAGCAGCCGCAGTGAGCGGCCGTCCAGAAGCCGGCGACTGATCTGCCTCGCCCGGGAAGAGCGCAATGATGGTGCCAACTTGGGCCAGTGAAGCAACGTCCTCCACAACTAGACTGAAGAACAAAAGGACAGCAACTTGTCTGTTCCCCTTCCTCCAATTCCCCAGCGCTGTTCCCATCCCCCAATTCCCCAATAAAAAAAATCTTAAAAAAAAAAAAAAGAATTCTGCCCTGACAGGGTCACACAGGTACACTTAATTTCTCCAGCAATAATGTGTGACAGCATGTGTGAATGTTGTCTGCCAGGGAAGTTCATTAGAGCCTGTGTGACCAGAGGTTTTGATTGATGACTGGTCATTTAGGTACCTTCTGCCTAGCACATACCTGAAATTCAAGAATTCCAGAAGGAAAGACATATTCAGCAGAACCACCGTGTTGGCAAAAACAGTTTAGGCAGAGTGGGCCACTCTTATCAGAGAATATTGGGGACCCTGCTGATTCTGAGTTCCCAGGCTTTAGCCAAGGGCCAATCAATCTAAAGGCAGGTCTTTCTAAGGAAAGCTGGCTCAGTCCTGCTATGTCATCTCTTTTCTGCACAGGGCCATACTTTGCTTTTGCTTTTTTTGTTGTTGTTGTAAACTGGACATTTAAAATATAATATGGCAACTCAGGTAATATAATAATATAATATAATATAATATAATATAATATAATATAATATAATATAATAATATAATAATATGGAATCAGAATCTCACCCCTTCCTAGGATTTGTTGTTTGGGGTATTATTTTTTGCAGTTATTTTCTTGTTAGTGACTTTTCTGAACTAATTCTCTGCATTCTGTATTCTGTGTGACCACTGTGGTCCCTTCTCAGTTACTTGATGGTCAACTATTGGTAGAGATTTCCTTAGCAACCTGAAGTCACCCAGACTTTGCCAAGGGGTTCTGGGAGCATGTTGAATCATGTCTTCAACACTCATCCAGGCAGCTAAAAGCCCTGGTATACTCTTAACTTCCTGCTTTTGGAGAACATCATGGGCAGCCAGAAGTGAGAACTTAGGGTCTTGTCAGTTCTTTCTTAAGCACGTGACAGCCCTGAGTGTGCACACAGCCTTACACTTGGCTGTGTTATTCTAGATACCCAGGAGTAAGACAGAGCTTTTCAAAGCTTCTACGGACATCGTATTCCCCAGCTTTCCTTTTTAAGTTCTTATTAGTCTATTGTTTACTCCAACTGTCATCTATCACTTCAAGCAACCACAAGTTAAACAATTGCCTATAATTTTTTTTTACAATTATGCCAGAAAACAAAAATAAAAACAAAACTCTTTGTTCTAAGCAAGGTCCAAGTCAGATTAAATATGACATTTGAACAAATGGAGTCTTACAGAGATTCACCAGACAGGCCAATTACTAATAATTCTCTAGGAATGACAAATTGACATTATGTGCCACCTTATATGATGAAAACATGCTATCATTTCTGTGCTATTCCTGCCCAAAATACAAAACATGAATTTAATCATGAGAATTTGTCAGCTCCATGATGGCTTTAAAAAAATATGGTTTTCTAGGAAAAGACATGTACAAAAATGTTGCTAGAAGCTATATTAATAAAGAAAAATTGGAAATAACACAGTTGCCTATATATCAATTAGAGAATGAATCATTAATGGTCTATATGTACAATGGACTGCTACATAGCAATAAAAAATAACCATCTACATGCAAACACAACATCATAGAGGATTTCATGGAAGTAATAACAGTGAAAGAAACCAGCTACAAAGATTGTACAACCTATTAATCTATTAATAACTGGCAAAATAATCTATGGTGATAGAAGTGAGAATAATGGTTACTTCAAGGAGGAGGTATTGAATAGAAAAGGGCCAAAGAACCTTCTCAAATGTTGGAAATAATTCTATGACCCATCTGTATGGTGGCTAAATAGGTATAATTCTATAAAATTTGTTCACTTGTATGGTGAAGATTTATGCATATTACCACATGTACATCTCATTAAAATATTTTAAAAGCAAGGGAAAAAATATACTTTTGTAGCCTATCCTGTATATTCTCTTTGTTACAGTGGGAGCAAGAGTATCCAGCAACTTTCTAGAAACTAAGCAGTATAAGAGATTATCACTGTCTTAGTCTGTTTTCTGTATTTCCCTTTTTTTTAAATCTCACTGCTTGATGCTGAATAGTTCCTTCTAACCTATCTTCCATTTCATCGATTCTCTCTTACGCTGTGTCAAGTGTGCTGCTATATGCATCCTGAGTTATTTCAGATGCTGTTTTTTCAGTTATAGAATTCCTAATTGGTTCTTTTCCACGATTTGCTGTTGAGATTTTTTTTTTAATTTTACCTCTTGGAATATAGGAAGCACAATTATTTTATACTCTGTGTTGATAACTCATATAATTTGAACCCCTGTGGTTCTAGTTCTACTGTCTCATTTCCCTCAGCTTTGCCTTCCTCTTATATTTGCTTATTTTATTTATTTATTTATTTATTTATTTATTTATTTATTTATTTATTTATTTATTTTTAAAGATTTTATTGGGGAATTGGGAAAGGAGAACATTGTGTTTTTCCAGAACACATCAGCTCCAAGTGAAGTTGTTGTCCTTCAATCTTAGTTGTGGAGGGTGCAGCTCAGCTCCAAGTCCAGTCGCTGCTTTCAATCTAGTTGTGGGGTGGGGGAGGAGGGACGGGATAGGGTGAAGCCCACCATCCCATGCAGGAGTCAAACTGGCAACTCTGTTGTTAAGAGCACGTGACCTCACCAGCTGAGCTATCTGGCCGCCCATTGGCAGCTCAGTGGCAGCTCAGCTTGGGTGCAGCTCACTGGCCCATGTGGGAATGGAACCAGCAACGCTGTTGCTGAGAAAGTGCACTCTAAACAACTGCACCACCCGGCCCGCCCCTATTTGCTTATTTGTTATTGAGTACTCTGTATGGTATATGATAAATTTTAGAAAGAGATGTCAAAGAAGAAGTTATCCTGTAGAGACTTTGTTTTCCTCTGGCTGATGACTGTGAGGAGATTAACAATCTAAATGGGTCTCTGTTCCTGGAAGGTCTTGTCTACTTTAAGCTCCCTTAGGCTGTATCCTTCAAGGACTCCAACCCACAACTACCCTCCCTCCAGGTTTTCCTCAACATAGGCCCACAAATTTGTCAGAATACATCCTCAACTTCTCAGTCACCCAGTTGCCTCTTCAGGAATGTGTGGCTCAAAAATCAGCCCCAAATACAAAGGTCATCCCTCTAGATTTTCCTTTTGCCAGATAATGGTGCTATTTTCTTCTGTGCTTTGCCATCTCTTCAATGTTATTCAATATTCTTCTCTAATATTTCATCCAACTTTCTGAGTTTTACTCAGTGGGCATATTGATATACATTTGATATATATAATTTATTCATTAAGGGCCAGGAAGTTCGTTTTTCTTAGATTATCTATTGTATTGCTACTTAGGTCAAATCCTGAATAATCTTTAATTAGTCCTCCCAACACCTACTCAACAATGTGAAGCTTGGGCATTATGATACATTATAGAAATTTTATCTATAAGCTTTTGCGACAGTAAGGCTTTCACCTAGAAATATTGAGTACCCAGTTCCTTCACCTAGTTTATAAAGTGATAGTAGGCTAATAAAATCAGATAGCATCTTAGTCACAAGAATATTTCCATTTATCTTAGAAAAAGTTTCTTTTTTTTTTTCAGTAGATTAAGAAGCCTAAGACAGGGCCAGCTGAGTGGCTCAGTTGGTTAAGAGCACGAGCTCTGAGCAACAGCGTTGCCGGTTCGATTCCCACATGGGCCAGTGAGCTGCACCCGAGCTGAGCTGTCACTGAACTGCCAACAGGTGGCAGGATGGCTCAGCTGGTGAAAGCATGTGCTCCTAACAACAAGGTTTCCGGTTCGACTCCCGCATGGGATGGGGGGCTACGCCCACCCACAACTAAGATTGAACACAGCACCTTAAACTGAGCTGCCCTAGCTCAGTGATTAGAGCGTGCGCTCTTAGCAACAAGGTTTCCGATTTGACTCCTACAAGGGATGGTGGGCTATGCCCACCTGCAACTAAGATTGAACACGGCACCTTGAGCTGAGTGGCCAGAAGCTGCCTACAGGTGGCCAGATGGTGACTGGACTTGGAGCTGAGCTAGCTGCGTCCTCCACAACTAAGATTGAAGGTCAACAACTTAGCTGTTCCCCTTCCCTAATTTCTCAACTAATTCCCCAATAAAATCTTAAAAAAAAAGAAAAAGAAAAGAAAAAGAAGCCTAAGACGAGCATATATTTTAAAAATAAAAAGACCCAGGGTAGCTAGTTAGCTCAGCTGGCTAGAGTGCAGTGCTCATAACACCAAGGTTGCTGGTTCCATCCTCACATGGGCCACTGAGCTGCGCCCTCCACAACTAGATGGAAACAGTGGTTTGACTTAGAGCTGATGGGTCCTGGAAAAACACACTGTTCCCCATAAAGTTTTGAAAAAAAATTAAAAATAAATAAAAATAACAAGACCTGAATTCAATGATTTTAACATGCATACCTTTATTGAATTCTAAATTGACAAATCTAGAAGTTCTTATATAGTGTAAGAAGTTAATATCTGTATTGTATTTATAGGAAACATTCAGGAACTTTTTAATAACTACTTTGAATTTATTCCTTCCCAATTATTTTTGTAGATCTCTAGAAATGTGTTATCATAAATCAAATTCTAGCTCCAGAAAAGAAAGTTTTGCTTAAACTTGTTTTTAATTATGGGCCCATCTCCTGTATTATATTTATCACTATTGGCAGTACTGCTACATAGGATGTTATCTGGATTACAATATATTTTTAAATGACTTTTGTTTTAATTTTGTTTCTTATAAGACTCATTCAAATTGCAAACCTAACTTGATTAACTTATAATCAAAGCAATTATATTGTTTTTAAACATACCCTTTCTGGTATACTGAAGTTAATCTACTCCTCTCACCCCCAACCCCAAATAGTACTCTATTTAGGAGTATAAGAAAAGAGAAAGTTTCACATACTGTTTCCTAGAGTCTATTTAAAGATAGTGTTAAATAGAGAGAAAAAACAAATGTGTCTGCTTTCAGGAAAAACATAACAGCTTCATTGACACAACTTATTCAAGACACTCTTCTGACTGTGGCACAGCAAACACAATTAGCGTCACACTTGGAATATGCACAAGAGAATAAACTAAACAAAAATGCTAATAGAGCTCTTAATTTCCCTTATTTTGGAAAAGTGACAAAATGCTTCAATGTTCTTAAATTGCCAATTTTTAAATCACAAGCTCCACCAAAGCTTATTTACAGCTCCACCAGAAATACATTCAAATTCCCATCCCAGTACAAAGAATAAACAATGCTTCATGTACACAGGCTCTTTTACCTACAAAATACTAAACACAAATAAATCCCCATTTAATGTTATTTTTATGTCCTTTAAAATGGAAACATTTCAAAAATAAAGTAGATATTTTCTAAGTAGAATTTACCTGCTCATAGATGTATTCTCCCTCTGACTAATGCATAATCTTTACAATTAGCAGAGTAGCACTTCTAGGAGTGCAAAGTATTTGGGCAAATTTCATCATAAAATCATTGTAACACATTGGAAAGGTAAAATGCAAGAGAAAATCCTCACTGTGAGTTTTCCTGTCTGGAAAATACAAGTCTCAGGTTAAGTCAGTGGTGGTATTGAAAATGGCATGTATCAATTTGAATTGTGTCCGTGTCCAATCAAGAATGATGAGGAAAATAATTCAGATGTACAGCTTCAACAGGAAAAACGAGTAAATAATCGTGGTTTTCAATATCCCATCAGGCTTTCTTCTGTAGGTCAAAGGTAAAAGAGACGGTTTGACAAGGACTGATGTGGCTCTTGGTGAATGCTCTGGCCCACAAGGTAAGCCAGTTTATGGGCATAGTGACAAGGAGCAGGAACTCGGATGATACCCTTTAGTTTAAAGGAGAAAAAAAAAATTTTTTTAACGTCATATCTACTTTCCCTAAATTTCAATGTTCATAGATATGAATTCAAGGTTCAAAAAGTCTAAATTCAATGTTGACCAAGTTCACAGATCTGAAGGAAAATCGGTATCAAAAACTACTTACTGGTAAATTATAATACATGTGGCAGAGTCGGTAAGTTAGACACTGTACTGTATCTGGGCTCAAGCGCACCGTGTCGTGGATGACATTATAGTGAGTGGGAGTGACGGTTCCCTCTTTCACAGACTGACTTACAATAAAAAAATCATACCTGGAAAAGAGAGCAGGTGGGTATCAGCTTATTTCAGAAGAAAAAGAACGTAGCCAACTAGTATCGGAAGTGACATTAATTTACAGAAATCCATTCTACAGACAGAGTTTCCTTTACATTTAAAAGGCTGGCCACCCATTGAGGAGTGATTTGATAAGCCAATCTACAAATGACAGTGAAATCATTGACCCCAGTCATAACTCCCATAGGATTTAGACTTAAAAGCATATGCATTGATGCCTAGAGGCAGAAATGTAAAACTGGCCCATTTGATAGGGTCATAAGTAATTCGATTCAGAGATCCAGGGATGGACACTTCCCGCCTCTCCCTAAGAATCACCTGAATATATTCAAATTCCCTAAATGATAGAACTGGAAAGGTTCATTTATTGTAAATATTGAGTTTAGTCTTGTGTATCATCTTTTGTTATGCTTTATGTTTATCATACTTTTGCTTGTTTCTTGACTCCTTTCCTGGTTTCTACTGGATTGATCAATGTTTCTGTCTGTCTGTAGTGGCACTTCAGTTTCCCTGCCTACTGATGTGAGTGTCATGTTTTACTTCCCTCCGTGGTTCTACATAATTTTCTGATTTGCATAATTGACACATCTGAAGTTAACCAGAAGTCCTACCATTCTTCCTAACAACTGAAGAATCTTAAAATGATAAGTATATTTGCAGTAAATTTTAAAAATTCTATGAGAAGAAAATGAAACATCCCCCCAAAAAATCTATAATCCAATGTCTCTATTCATATCATTTTTTAACATTCCTTAGGTCAATTCTTCCTTTCTCCTCCAAATCATGCAAAGCTTAAACAATTCTGTTACTATTTGAATGAAAGGGAATCTTTAAAATCTATAAAGGTGGCTTACCATTCCCGCCTGGTCACAGCTACATCAACAACTGTTCCTGAAGGTGGATTTTGAAGGGTTCCTTGAGACTCGACAAAAAACCTGGTGTTTATTCGTTTCTTCACCACAATGAAAGTTAGTTTGAAACTTAAAAAAATTATGATCAGTGTCACTATGTTTACTCAGTGTCATCTCAGAAGCATTCAGAGTGTTGAAACACCACATACAAAGGAACCATTACAAAGAACCTGCAGGGCGGCTCTCTATACACCCCAATTTTACTGTCTTAGCTCCAGGTGGCTGATTCGTAGCCACCCATATCTTAGGGGAAGAGTCCCTTCCTCACAATGTCAGCATCACTGCTATTATCTATGTAGGGCACCAGCCTTCACTGATAAATAGATGAGAGCAGCACTGGCAGCTGGGAGGCATCCCCAGCCCTGCGACCTACAAAACTCCAGGATAAAGGAGTTCACAAGAAAAGAAATTCTGAGGTGTCCTAAATTACACCAAGATGGAGGGTGGGAGGAAGACACATTGGAAGCTATTCAGTTAGCAGACACAGGCTGAAACCAACAAAAGACCGCCCACATTCCTGACTATGTGTTGAAATTTTGAATCAACTTCCAGGCAGCTATTTATTTCCCCCATGACCTAAAAAGAAGAGTGGACCACCAGACGCTACCACATCCTGCTTATGCATGAGCTTTCCAGACTGTTGCCTATAACCAACCCAGAAGCAATAAGAATTTCTTCCAATGGACTAGTCACCTATCCCAGTTCCGTTTCACTCTTTCCCACCCCCACTTATCTACAGCCCATGTAAATGTTTTCAAAACAACTTATATCTTTCTTTCCCAAACTCATTGTATAAAAGAGCCATGTCCACCCGAGGACAGCAGACATGTTTGCCTTCTCCATCTAGCCCTGTGGCTGGTGGTTTAGATTGCATGCCCCAGGACCTGGTCCTTACCTTGGCTATTTGGCATATGACTCAATAAACCGCCCCACCCCACCCCCCTTTTTTTTTTTTCAGGACAACTTTCAGTCTCATAGGTTTTTGTTTAACACCATTGATAGGCCCTGTTCAGGGGTTTTAGTGAATCTCTGAGGTTAACAAGCTGTGCTACATGAAGGCTTTGCAGGGCAATTAAAAAAAGAGATTCAGGGCCGGCCGAGTGGCGCGATGGTTAAGAACTTGCTTGGGATGCCAGAGGGCCCCGGTTCGGATCCCACATATGAGGGCC